TATATATATATATATATATATATATTACACACTTTACTTGCAATCTTTTTTTTTATTTTTTACTTGCAATCTTCTCAGCATGTACCCCAGCTCTCGTACAGTGACTGCTGGACATACAGTATATGCACTATAGCAACTTCTTTCGACCCAGAAAGGAGAAACAAGTAAAGATAAAGGAGGAATATTTAATGTTTATTATATTACATTTTAACAGCAGTTCAGTGAGGAAATGCTGGCAGCATTCTGCAATTAGAGTAACCTCAATAGAACTTGAAGGAATTTTGATTGATTTTACACTTGCTTGTTTTTTATTTTGTTTTATTTTAGTTTGCAACAAACAGCTACATTTGCGCATTGTGTGTTTCATTTTAGTTGAACACTTGTTAGCAGATTAAATAACCTGTGCATRTTGTATCTCGTAAAATGTCGCCAAAAATAAAGAAGCAAGATCTATGCCTTTTAAAGAACAGTTTATTCCGATGGCCTTAGAGATGAATCCAGGATTTTCTGCCATTTCCATGGGAACGGTTTCTCTTCTCAGCCCATGATCTGAACAAGCAAACACAAAGTGGTAAGAGACGATGTTGAAAAGAAAGATGTCTTTTTGTGTGTGGTTCTTAAGCTGTTTTTTTTTATACTGACGCTGTTCATCCAGCTGGTATAAGCAGACACACGGGTGAAGACGGTGGGCTTCTTGTAAGTGTTGCAGCCGCTGGAAGACACGAAGCTGGTCACACCGTGGACAACCCACTGACCGTTGACACTGCAGTTCAGGGGGCCACCAGAATCACCCTGCACATAAAAAAGCAAAGCTTAACATCACAACAGATTGCTGTATTTTTTCAGAAGCACCTTCCTTGTTCCTCTTAATCTCAGTCAACCTGGAACTGCTTTGTGCAGAGCATGAGTCTGCAGGACACTGCAGCTTGAGCACCAGCTAAGATCATTGCAGCTGCCTTATGTGCCCCTGCTGATACAGCAAGAAATCAATCAAAATAAGTTTATTCACTCAATTCAACAATTTTCCTCATTATAACATACAAACACATTTTTGTTTAACGCATACTATGCATGAGTGAAAACGGAGCAGGAAGAAGAAAACCTTGTATAAACCTGCTCCTTTCTCAATAATTACAATTATTTTTCATGGCCACATACATTGAATCACAAATAGAATCTGCAAACAATATATCATTCTCATTAACTCAAAAGTGCATAAGACTTAATATTTTTTTCCTTAAAGTATTTTAAATTGATTTAAAGTAGAACATTTTTTCAAATCGTCATCCAAACTGTTCCATAATTTTACCCCATAAACTGAAATACACATTTGCTTTAAAGTAGTACGTTTACTTTTAAAATCACATTTTCTTCAGTTTTTTTTCTGTCATTTGAACTTAAGACAAAAAACTTTTGTAAATTAATTGGCAATAATGTCTTTCTTGCTTTAAACATAACTAATAAAATTTTTCAATTAACTAAATCCCGTAGTTTCAAGACGTTTGATTGAATAAAAAAATTATTTGTATGTTCCCTAACATTCACTTTATACAGAATTCTCATAACTTTCTTCTGTAACACAAACAAAGTTTAGTGTTGGTTTTATCTGTGTTGCCCCATACCTCTACACAATAGGTCATATAAGGAGCAACAAATGAGTGATGTAATGTATGGAGTGTTGGTTGTTCTAAAATATTTTTTACTTTATTTAAGAGTCCAAAACTTTTACATAGTTTTTGTTTTATATATTTTACATGATATTTCCACTTAAGTTTATGATCCAAGACAACCCCTAAAACTTTAGTTTTAGGGGTCGACCTAACACAAAGTAAAAAATAAGGTAAAATGAAAATATTCAGAACACTTCATATACTCGTTCCACTATATTATCATCTATGGMCATTATAGTAGAGCCATCGATTTTTTTGTTACTAGAAATACCTCAGGAGTTTGTGAAAAAAAATCTTGCTTGACAAGAAGAGGTCAAGCAACAGCTTTGTGAGAGACATTCAAGCTGTCAATGGTTGTTGGGCTCAATTTTGTCCAGTTATGCCATGTTTTTTTTTTTTCTACCATTACCCAAAACGATCTGAAGAATGAAAAATTGGTTTGGACAACAGCTCAAGAATGTATGCTATAGAGCTTAACATCCTCACTGGAACGATTTAAAAAATATATATATATTTATGGGTTGGGGTTATTGGTAAGTCAGGAGCTCAATTTTTTCTTCTTGCGAGTGTTTTAAAAGTGATAAGGAGTGTTTTAACTCAGCCTCAGTACCAAATTACACGTTTGATGTTAAAAAGCCTTGACTCACCTGACAGCCAGAATCACTGCCACCACCAGCACACACCATGGTGTTCTTCACAGTGCTGCCCCACCAGTCGTACTGTGAGCAGGTGCTGTGGGCAACAACAGGCAGGTAGGCTTGTTTCAGCTGAGTGGACAGGTTACCACCAGCTGCAGGAAAGAAAAAGAAACGTTASAGCTCTCCTAAAGGCTTCAGTATTCATGTAAATGTGAAAAGGTGTTGGACTCACTCTGGGTGCGTCCCCATCCTGTGATGTAGCAGTTGTTGTTGTGGGGCAGAACCTGGCCGGAGGGAGGCAGGGAGGCGAGCTGGACATAGTTGTTGAGAACAGCGTTTGTTGACAGGCGCAGCAGAGCAATGTCGTAGCTGGGATGTCAAGAAAGCAAAAGTAAATTTGTAAAGGAGGGCGTTTTTAAATAAAGCTCAAACCGGTACTCACTGCCATTCGACCTAACACAAAGTAAAAAAGAAGGTAAAATGAAAATATTCAGAACACCAGGTACATTTCTTGTTTTCTTTTATAATGGGTTATCATTCACTTCTAGCAGAAGATCTGTAAAAACATGCACTTCTGTGTCTGTCAGGTTTTTTTTACTGCTTGTTGTTTTCTTAATATTTTAATTTTCTTTGTTAGCTGCACTAAAGAAAGGCAGATTTTTTTATTTCTTATAATTCAATCAAAAGCAAGTACTAGTCTTAAACACACTAATGAGTGATAGATATATATTATATATTCTGYCTTGCCAATTGTCAGTTTAATTGAACTTTTTAACATTTCTCAAAAACTCAATGCTCTCTATGACACCTAAGAACCACAGCATCCAAACAAATAAGTCAGGTGATGGGGCACATGACCCACTATGAACAATAGAACTAATCAAGCCTATTGTTAGGCKATGGCCCTCTTTTGCATGTGACAAACCTGTTTGTCCATGTGGAGGCAGTGCTTACAAGGCTGAATTCACCTGAAACTCATCAGACTGAAGAAGTCTCTTGGAGGAGAGACGAAATGTTTCACTAAAGAAGAACCGATACAGAGGACCTACTTATTTTTTTCTTTTTGATTTTTTCAGTGCTCTCTAATTTAAAACTATATAATGTGTATGAGTAGGTGTGGTTGTTCTTTTTGCCTAACGGTGTGGTTCATGTTATGACTCACCCTGCAGCGACGTTGTTGGAGTTCCAGTTTGGGTGAACGTAGACTTGGCTCACRCTCATGTACTGCTCTCTGCCCTCGTTGGTGTTGATGTTGTGATCGCCAAGAACAACTCGCCAAGTCATGGTTCTGTGACCACGTGAGAAAACATTTAGTGTTTCCTCTCATACAGAAAAAAAAAAATTAAAAATCAGTGTTTTAACAGTAAAACTAAATTATTAATACAGTTCAAGTAACTCAAACTGTATTGAAACAGATACAATCACCTCCGTCAGGCATCATGTTTCTTTTGAAGCGCCAGTTCTTCTGTGGTGCACTGAACACCTACCTGTCCACACAGTGAGCAGCGGTCATCACCCATCCTGCCTTGACCAGGGTTCCTCCACAGGTGTGGTAGAAGGAGCTGCCGGATTTGTACTGAAGGGAGATCTGGTGAAATTATAACATAAAGCTTTAATACTTTTTTTTATAATTTTTGTTAGATTTTGTTAAAGTCACCAAAATCTTGAGAGCATGACCTTCAAAAAAAAAATAAAATAAAAAACTGAAGTGTGTAAGAGGTGCCTTTTGACATTGACAATATATGCAGGTTAATTAGTGTTTTTGGTTAACTTTTGTAAAAACCTGAATTTTACTTCAGTACTCATTTAGTGAAATGCTTATTTTATTACACAATGTCTACTGTTTTATTTTTTTACACAGAAAACAAATATCAATCACAAACCTATGCACTATATACTATAAATTAAAAATATGTATCAACACTTTTTTATTCATGCTGGAGAAAAAAACATTTTATGTTTTATATAATTCGTAAAAATCACCAAGTTATTTGTATAATATACAAGAAAAAAAAACTAAACATCTTTTCAGACTTTTGTGGTTTAGTTTGTAGTGTTGGTGGTTTTATGCTCTTAAATGAGTCTACATTTTTTATGAAGTCATAGGAAGCAGTCTGTACCTGCCAAGGCCAAGAGTTAGGTCTGGCCACCTCGCCTCCAACAACTCTCTCCTCAGCAGTGTTGTGCTCCAGGTACCTGGGCTGGGGCACAGCCAGCACTGAGCAGAGCAGAGCAGAGCCGCGGGAAACCGACGGGTCAAACTTCATGCATTTTGGTGCATTTACATTGTGTGTGAAGAATCTCAAAGGAGAAGAAAGCAGTTCTTACCCAAGGCTGCGAGAGAGGTCAACAGAAGAAACCTGAGCATGTTTGCAGTCTCCTAAGACTTTCTGCTTTCGTGACACCTCCTCATCACTCTTTTATACCCTCAGGTCGGCTTGTGCTGATAGCATCATGTGTGGCATGTCCAACACGAACACACGTCCACCTGTGCCAATCTCACGTTTATCACTGCTGCGGGACCAACTGAGTTTAATTCAGGGAATAGCAAACACTGGACCTGTCATTTCCAAGGACTGACAAGACCAACAAAAGAAAAGTGTTCCTACCACAGAAAGTGTGCAACATGATTTTGAATAATAATGATATTTAGTGTGTTCAAACTCACCTATTTAAACTCACAATACAGAATGTTGTTTTCTGATTCCATCTGCTCGATGTTTGCTGTTTTATGTAAAATGTAAAGCACTTGCTGATGATAACAAAGACACATCCACACTCTGACATTTTCTTCAAGTGCATCCCTGCTGGTGCAACTCCCATCTGAAAGCAATTTATTGTTTGCAGTCAGTGGGAGAAAAAAAAGAGTGTTTTGTTAAAAAAAAAAAAGTGAACCGGGAGAGATCAAGGCTCTGATTTATTAGAATCAAACATATGTTTTGAACACCAAATGCACTGCTAGAAAGTGGATGTTCTGGTTGCAATGACAGTATTAATAGTTTAAAATTGGGTGAAATTGAACTTTTCAGATGTGGCATAAATATTAGTCTTGTAAGGAAACATAACAGTTTGAAAAAGCACAAACATTTTAGCTTCAGATCAGGAACACACAGCTGTCACCCACAGTGAGGAACGCAGGAGACACAGCACCGAGATTTTAATGTGTGGATTTTTTTTCTTTCATGTCGCAGGCAACACGTTGTTGATTAACATCGATCTTGATCAGCGTTCAAACATTCAAAGAACAACCCAGAGGATATTCTGCTTTAAAGCCTTTGATAAGTATTCATGAGGCTCTGCAGAGTCAACGGTGTGAGCAGCATTGGGCTGCAGTTTGGGTTACTAAAGAAGTGCTTGGTTTTGGAGCTGTGGGCTGGAAAAGCAGTTCRGACTGCAGGAGATGTATAACCTCTTAATTTTCTCTTGAATAAATATATTCAGCTTTTATTCATTATATGATTATTTGAAAAGATTTCTTATGAGCAGGGAATAACAAAATTTAGACAAAGTGCTCTACTGTCCACCAAGAGATCACCGTATGGGAATGATGTGATCAAAGATTTTCTTGTTCATGTGATCTAAATACCGCTTTCTCATAATTACATTTAAAATATCCTTATTTAGGTTTTAATTGGTCTGAGCTTTATAATGGAAACCCATATGTGTATTTGTAGGATTTTTAATCTACATTTTGTCCAAAAAAGAAATATCAGTAGTTTGTTAAATATATATTTATCTTTACATGATAAGATTATTAATGTGTCTCTTTGGTATGTAGAGCAGAATCATTATTTTAACTTCAAAGAGACCAGCAAGAAAAAAATCACAACAGCAGTTTTATGAATTATTATGAAAGGATTGCTGGGAGCAAACCGTATATATAAAACCGAAGCACCCACATACAGGCCTCGGGGAAACATTTTAATTTTTTTAAAGGTACAAATTAAAACTATTTCTGACATTCACTTTATTTAACAGTAAAAATGTAAAAAAATGAAAGCACATGATTGAAATACAATAAAGACTTTGGAAAACCCTACAAAACCTCTTGAATATTTTTGCTCACGACAGCCAGTCTGAGTGCTTTTTTCATTTTCCCCTAATACAAGCGGCAACATATGCCCAGTTCCCACAGTAAAAGCACACACTTATCGTGCTTTTACTTTACCCTCTATTAGTGCCTGAGTTTCTAACGCAGCTTTGTCCCTCTGATACTGCAAAACCCATCAAACAGGCAACAGGAAATGTAACATGTTCCTTTAATTTAATAGACACTGCAGCAAAGGGAARAATGTATTCATAAAACAGCAGGAATAACAAAAAAAAAGTTCAAACGAAACAAAGGACAAAAAGCTGCGTAATGAATTGGAGTGTGCATTCAGGGCTGCAACGTGTTAGAATCCAAACACTTTATTTCTCTGTCCCTGCTRCACCCCCTCATCCCGCTTGTCTCACACTTTATTTGTCACAAACTTGCTTGCTGGGTGCTGACGGCATTCACATGCTGAGATGTAAGGAAGCTTGATGAAACCGATTATGAGCCATTTACCTGATTTCTGAGCTCATGTTGATGCTGTGGTGTCACAGSCTAATTTTAGATCAGTTTTGGTTTGAGAAACTGTCAGAAAGRCATTTAGATTTGAAAGCAATGCTAAAAATAGCATCAGGCAAAAAGAAGGATGCCTGTTAATTCTGAGAAAGTGTAATTGTAAAGGATTTGCTTAGTAAAATTGGACACAGAATGATCAAGTAGTGCTGTTTCTGTTGCAAATGATGATGTTTCTCAAGAATTGTTGATAATCTGCATGGA